AAAAAAAAGAAAGCCCACGCACAACTGGACCCGGCGTGGTGGAAGAACCCAGGAAACGGCCGCCATCCGAGGCCACCACTTAGCAACCGCCGTGATCAAGGCACCCAAAGGGGACACCGAAGACCCGCGAGGCAGCAAACCCCGACCCTGGCCGCCGGCCGAGCCCGTACCTTGTCCACCAGGTCCTTCTCGGGCACCTCGATGGCGTCCTGCTGGGCCCCAAAGCGGTTGCGCTGATACGTGACCTGCTCGGCCACCAGCTGCTTCAGCAGGAAGAGCAGCAGCTCGTTGTTGTCGCGCCGGAACGAGAGGTAGCGGGCGAAGCTCTGCGGCAGAGGACAGCCCCGGTCAGACGCCGCCCTCCCCGCCAGGGCCGGCCCCGCGCGCCGCGGCTCGCGCCCACCTTGCGCATGCTGCGCGTGACGCTGAACTTCTGCGCGTCCACGAAGCTCTCGAGCATCACGCGGATGGCCATGTTGACGTCGTCTTCCGTGACGTAGTCCCGCAGGTGGATGCGCGCGTGGGCCTCGGCCATGCGGATCATGGACTCGATGTGCCTTACCGTGATGGGGATGCTGCCCGTCGCCTGCAGGGGGCGCAGCGTCAGGCCTGAGACGCGGCCGTCTCAGACACCAGGGCGAGAAGCCCCGTCTAGCGGCGCCATCTGCGGCGGAAGAGCTCGCCTGAGCCGCCCCGGTGGACGCTCACTGCGGGTGACGCCAGGGGACACCGAACGCTGGTGGCCGGTCCTATGATGCCCGCCCAGCTCAAAGCACCTCGGACCCTGTGATGTCTGTGGCCAGCGGTTTTGGTTGCTGTCACGCGCTAAAGAGCGCGTCATCCGGGAGAAGTGGGGGAAAAAAAAAAAATAAGCAGTTGTTTGTCTGAAAACTAAGCAGAGTGCTCTGAAAAGCCTTCGTGAAGGGAAAAGGCAAAGACAAAAAAAGTAGCTGCCGTCTTGATTGGGTGTGGGTGACACGGAACAATCCCGACGGGGGTTCTGCGAGCTGTTGAGTGTTTGCTCCGCTCGGGGTGAACCGAAGCAGGTTCAGAGTCCGTGTTCGCCGGGGCGGGACTCACGCAGTGAGAGTAAGAGCACGTCTCCAAAAAAAAAAAAAAGGATGATGGTCCCACACCCAGACAGACGGATGAACGCACATTTAAGTTTCATCTAAAACAAAACGGCTAAGGAATGTTTTTTTGCGACTGAGTCTTGCTGTATCGCCCAGGCTAGAGTGCCGTGGCGTCAGCCTCGCTCACAGCAACCTCCGACTCCTGGACACAAGCGATCCTCCTGCCTCAGCCTCCCGAGTAGCTGGGACTATAGGCATGCGCCACCGTGCCCGGCTAATTTTTTCTCTATATTTTTAGTTGTCCAGCTAATTTCTTTCTATTTTTAGTAGAGACGGGGTCTCGCTCTTGCTCAGGCTGGTCTCGAACTCCTGACCTCGAGCGATCCTCCCGCCTCGGCCTCCCAGAGTGCTGGGACTACAGGTACGCGCCACCATGCCCAGCTAATTTTTTCTATTTTTAATTGTTTGGCCAATTTCTTTCTATTTTTTTTTTTTTTAGTAGAGTCAGGGTCTCGCTCTTGCTCAAGCTGGTCTCGACTCCTGACCTCAAGCGATCCTTCTGCCTCGGCCTCCCAGAGTGCTGGGATTACAGCCATGTGCCACCACGCCCAGCTAACTTTTTCTATATATTTTTAGTTGTTTGGCTAATTTCTTTCTATTTTTAGTAGAGACGGGGTCTCACTCTTGCTCAGGCTGGTCTCAAACTCCTAACCTCAAGTGATCCTCCTGCCTTGGCCTCCCAAAGTGCTAGGGTGACATGCATGAGCCACCACGCCCGGCCTGGCATCATTTTTTTCGACGCCTTCCTGCTCCGGCACCTTCTGTGCTGACCGGCTGAACGCCGCGCCCGCTGCCCGAGCCGCGCCTCCCCCTCCGCCCCACCCCCGCGCTCGGCCCCCGTGCGCACCGCAGACTCCTTCCTCAGATCGCTGTACATCTTGGCCACCTTGTCCTGGTCTATGTGGTTGAGCTTGGGGTGGACCTTCTCCTTGGCGTAGATGACGTACTTCTTCAGGACGTCCTGCGGCAGGGGCTCCACGCCGTACGTGCTGGGCATGGCGGGCTCGGCGGCCGGGCCCTCCTCCTGCTTGTTGTTGGGGTGGTGCCGGATGTGGCTGCCCACCACGAAGCGGGCCAGCATCTCGTCCTGCGACGAGACGCGAGAGGGAGGGTCTGAGAGGGGGTCAGTGACCAGCCGGGAGGACGCCAGCTGGCTGGAAGGAAGGAAAAGCTGCACGCGTGTCCCCGGGGACGGCGGTTTTTTCACGGCCGGGTTGCCGCCACCGTTGGGCCGGGCGGTTTTGGTTGCCGGGGCCCCCTTGTTCCTTGGGCCGGAGCCTTCCGGAGGTTCCCGCTGTGCGGGGAGAGGATGCAAATGCGGTTTGAAATAGTAATCGTGGACAGTAACGCGCCCGGAAGAAAATAGGGGGACGGGAATGAGGGTCCAGCTTGGAGGGAGACAGAGGCGGTGGGAAGCGGGGACCCCGGGACTCGGTGGCGCCTTGCGGATCGTGCCGCGCGGGGGCCGGGGCGGGGCTGGGGCGGCAGAGGGAAGTCAGGCCGACTGCTGGACGCGAGGAGGGACCCGGGGACAGGCCGGGCGGCGTCCCGTCCCGGCGGCTGGCACGCCGCGCGCGGGGGCCGTACCTGGACGGGGTCGACCGTGTCCCTCACCACGCACAGGATGTCGAAGCGCGAGATGATGGGCTCCGTGAGGTCCACGTTCTCTGAGAAGGTCAGCGAGGGGTCGTAGCGCCCCCCTGCAACACAGGAACCCTCCGCTGCAGCGCACGCCCCGCCCCCCGCCTTCCCCGCCCAGGCTGCACCGAGGGCCGAGGGGAGCAGCGCGGGGCAGGGCTGGGTCCCCAGCGCTTGCAAAGAGCTCCCCCACTCCAAACGACAGCCTCAGTTGGACGCGAAGCTTAACTCCTCCTCCCAGAGGAAAAACCGAGAACACGGGCAGTGACGGGGCCGGGGCCACCCGGTCTCCCGCTGGCCGCGACCAGACGCCACTCTGCCCCGGCTGAGAGGCACCGAGCTCCCCTCCCCGCGTCTCCCGGCGACATCCGAGGGGGTTCTGAGAACACGGCTCAACAAAAAACTCGAGGTGTAGGCCGGGCGCGGTGGCTCACGCCTGTCATCCCAGCACTCTGGGAGGCCGAGGAGGGAGGATCGCTCAAGGTCAGGAGCTCGAGAGCAGCCCGAGCAAGAGCGAGACCCTGTCTGTACTAAAAAATAGAAAGAAATGATCTGGAGAACTAAAAATATATATATAGAAAAAATTAGCCGGGCATGGTGGCGCATGCCTGTAGTCCCAGGAGTCTGAGGCAGGAGGATCGCTCGAGGTCAGGAGTTCGAGA